TTACTGGGGAACGTTTCACTGAGAACACTTCTGAAAAAGTCCATAAATTCTCTAAGTCTTAGTGTGCTCAGTCTGTAAGACCCAGAGGCACACGAAACTAGGTTTTCTTGCAGGTTTCCCCTCTGCAATATATTTTCAACCTAAATTTACAATCATCAGACAGGATTCAATTAAGTTTGCTTTCTATTGCTTTTCTATAGAAGACAAATGTATTGTGAAAAGTTGTTTTAACTTGTACATGAAATTTAAAGTGAAATACATAATTTCTAAGGCTTCTAGATTAAACTGGAAAGGCTAGTGAAACAGGAATTAGGGTAACCACAAAAAGTTTAGTGGTTCTTCACAAAGTTAAACATTGAATAATCATATGACTTAGCAATTTTACTTCTAGACATATTTCCAAAAGAATTACGAACAGGAATTCAATGAAATACCAGTACATTAATGTTCATAACTGCACACTACTCATATCTAAAAAGTACGAACCAATGAATGGTATATCTATATAACAGAGCACTGTTCGTTCAGCCACAAAAAGAAGAGAAGTACTGACATGTTACAGTGTAGATGAATTCTGAGCACATTATTCTAAGTGAAAGAAGGTCACATACTGTATGATTACAATTATATGAAATATCCATAATATGACTAGATCAGAGTTTGGCAGAGGTGAAGGGAAGGGGGAAATGATACTGTCTTTTCAGTGTTCAGGAAGTAGATAGAAGTGATGAATACAAAACTCTGTGAACATATTAATAAACCACTAACAAGTATATTTCAACAGGGTGAATTTCATGGTATGCAAACTGTATCTCAATTTGCATGTTATTTAATCTAGTTTTCCTTCCTACATCACTAACATGTTTGTCATACTCAGCCCCTCTTCTGCCACCATTGTTGTCAAGTTTCTGTGAGTTGGTTCTGACTCATAGCAACTCTGTATAGGGTTCCTAAGGAGCAGCTGGTGTGTTTCAACCTTGTGGTTAGTAGTGTCACACCCTACAGTGTCACACCAGGACCCCAATATAAGTGTGACTTAAGAATCAGTGTATTTTGCTCAGTTCTTCCACTATGAACACTTCATCTTTCAAAAGTCATCTTTTTGACTGAAAATACTAGTTCTATGAAGACCATTCAATCTAGACTCCTCCCCACTTGTCCCAGGAACAGTTTCCTATCTATAGTTCCATTTGATTGTCTTCCATCACTTCTAACTTAAAATATCTGAAAACGAATTTCCTACTTTCCCTATGAAATTTACTGTTTATCGACTCCCTAGGTTCTGTCAGCAACTTTTGGGGACTCTTTCTCTCCCTATATTACCTAAGAAGAGAGAGCAACTGCTGTCATATAGTCAAGCTCCAATCACACTCTATAAAACACCAAAATCCAGGCAGGAACCAATACCAAATGCCATATACCAGGGAGGCAGACAACACCTGTGAAAATTATTCTGAGTTAACCAATAAGATGAGTGAAAAGGGAAGCCCACATCCTGATCACATCTACCTGGAAGCAATCAGAAAGCATAAAAAATACCAAAACACATACTCAATTAA